AATTTTTGAGACCAAATGTATAACTGATTAGTTCACTCCAAAAATAGAAGGTAGGAGGACTTTACATTCTTTGTTCGCAGAGTGTACGAGAACCCCTCTTTACAAATCAGTTTGAAGAGCTTCCCAAGCTCTTGCAACAATTTCCTTCACAAAACTCAATTGACAAATCCACACTCAAAATTCAATTCTTAAACAACCATCCACTCCAAACTTCACAAAAAAAGTTACAAATTCGAGACAAAAATTAAAAAACCAGATGCGAAATCTAACCCAACAAAAGTAATATAGAGCAGCAAGCAAAGATGGCAAAGAATATAGCAAGCAAAGAACCAAAGGGAAACCAGATTGAAACAGCAGGTAGAAAACCCGCAGATTTGGCAGGAGGAGCTCTAAGAAATTTTGGATCGTGATTTTGTGAGAGAGGATAGGATCATCCCAGAGGAAAAGAGGGGGGAGAGAGAGAAATTCATTTCCCATGTTTTAGCAAAAGTATCGTCTTTTGGCTTCAGTTTTGTCAAAACGCAGTTTTGCACGTTTTGTGTTTTCGGTGTTTTTTTTTTTTTTTCAAAAATGTGTTTTCAAAAATCTTAAAGAGTTGTTCAATTGGTCAGACCTTGGGTTTGCTTCCCAATGGTCACCAGTTCGAGTCCCCTCAGGGCTAGTGATGTGAGTACCCGACCGTAAACTTCAGGGCCCCGTGGAATTAGTCGAGGTGCGCGCAAGCTGGCTCGTACATTCACGGTTATCAAAAAAATGCGTTTTTGAAAATAAGAAAGAGAACGCGTTTTCACCCTTTTGGAAAATCGAAAACAGAAAACAGTTTGAAAACAATAAAGAGAACGTACCCTTATTTTTCTTTGGAATTTTGATTTTCAGTCTCCAGGTGTTATTTTGCCAGTCTTGACGGTATCCTAGTATTTGTAGGGAAAAACCTAGGGGTCGTTCTCTTTATGTTTTAGTTTTGTGTTTTGAGTTTTGAATTCATTTTGAATTTTGTGTTTTGAATGTCCATTTTGAAATTATTGAAAATGTGTTCTTTTTGGCATTTTGAAAACGCTAAAAACGCGTTTTGAAAAT